CTTCTCGCTACACTGACGATAACTAGATCTAAAGGTTCGGGCGGATCTCTTTCTCTGGTTTTAGAACTTGTCTGCAACCATAGCACATAGACACTTTTTGTTTTCTATTATCTATCAGAATTAGAGCGCAATTCAGAAATTAAGCAATAGACACTTTCACTGCAATATATACATAATCACCGGCATGAAATTATTCTTTCATGCGCGCCGAATTAATACTAGTTGTCCTTGACGTTGATAGAGCTAGTTTCTCACAATTAAACAAACCATTAAAACCATTATAATACCAGCAGAAAAGATCTTGGAAACCCGAGATCTGAGGTTTAAAACCAGACACAAGTTTACGGTCGTATTTCGACCAGCCTCGTCCCCGGCGCGTGTTTTATTGATCGGTGTTTTCAATATTAATCGCGTAGTAATGTTTGTCTCGCGGGAGGACACGCACGAAGCGACAGCGTGGGGGAGAACGCGCCTGGCAGAAAATGTTTCGAAAAGTGAAATTTGTGTCGAAAAGTGAAATTTGCATTGTTGATAATCTTTGATACCTTGAATAAGAACAGCATTACAGTATTAAATGGTTGAAGAACTTAACAAGTCGTTTGAAAACGTGATATTGAAGGTAAATCTTATATTTTCTGCAATCGCGCATAATACATCTTCGGATTCTTCAAATGTTTCTTCCGCCATCCATGGGTATATTTGACACAAAGTAACAGCAGGAAATTATTCTTCTATCCGCTAAACACAGACATTTTCTACTGACAATAATTTAAGTGTGGCATGTGTTGTACCATATGTTTCAAGCACCATATTACAAATGCAACAACTTTAGCCGTTTCTGATTGGTCAATATTACTTAGTTGTGAAACAGAAATTATTTATTGCCTTTAAGCAATGTTCTTTTCGGCAGTTTGAATCAGACTGTGCGCCGCCATTGTTACCTGCACATGCGAGTGCGGAGCGCGATTATTATTTAGTGAAACTTGTTAGTCAAGTTGGTTTTTGGTCAGGCACACGTGGTTCCGCATCAATTCTCCATGGAGAAGTGTTTGCGAGGTCGAGTTTGTTGAAAAGGTTATTCTACCCTTTTGGTCATCAAGCTACCTGCTATACCTGTAGCAATCGCGTCTTACACGTTGCCCATTTTGCAAGGTTAGTACCTTATATGACTATAACTAAAGTTAACTAAACTCGGCTTTTAGTCAAAGAACTTGTAATGATCGCAAATCTAATAATTTCCTATCCGACTTTCCAGGAGAATGCTGTTGGGCGGATGAAATACAGCTGTCAAAGTGTGCGTTCTTTGCAACAAAAATCCTGTGGATACAATATTCTTACCCTGCTTTCATCTAAAAGCTTGTCAAGGTACTACGTATGATACGTGCTGGTATTGCTTTTTATTATGGCACGTGGTCTCGTGACTAAAATGGCGTGCGCTGATTGGTTCTTTGCCGGTCTACGTTGCCGTAGTAACGGTCCAACTCTCATATTTTTGAACAAAAACAAGCTTGCACTTTTATTTAGGACACGAAAAATATCGACGGAGAATGGACGAAGAAAAACATTATTTGGTACATGTGAATATTATATTTATTCATCTTTGATTTTTGTTTATATTACTGTATCATTCTTATTTAACGAGTAAAAAATAAAGTTTTGGAAGCCACTTCAGTGCTTGCTTGGCGACTGGCTGGCGAAAGAGCCGGCAAGAATGCTGCAGCGCGTTGTATAAATCAATAAACTAAATACTGTATGCCATTTAATAAATCCCTTCTTAACCGAATACGTTCGGTCCGTACTTGAAAAATATCAGACCTCGGTCTGATATAAAACTAACAAAAAGTTCCATATTTGGTACCATATTTGCTATAACACAACGTTGCCTTACATATTTCATTGAATCAAGTGCATTGCGTGGTTTTAGTGTGCGGAGCGTTTAAGTTTCGTGTCATGTTAGCGCAGTTTAGATGGTGTAACATATTGAGTTATTTGGCCCATATGCATATATCTTTTAAAACCTCTAGTTATTTGATGCTTATTTACTTTCTAAAAAATGAAAAAATCTCGCGGCGTTGCGGCATCATATCAAGTAAAATTTTGCACTTGTCACAGCTTGGTTAATGAATAAATTAAATTTGATTAAAGTAGGGCCTTTACTATATACGAGAGATGTTTCAATTGCTGTCCCGCGCTGTCTACTTGGCCATACAAATATGCCATCTTGATATAACTGTGATATAGGCCAACGTAAAGTCGAGGGTGATGAAAAATGTCGAATGTAGAAGTCGGGGGTGAGAAAAATGTCCAGGGTTATCGAGATTTAGAGAAATTGTTGAGGGTAAAAAATTTCAATCTGCCCATGCGTCTACACACAAGAGAAAATCAAAATAATGATGAAAGGAAAATGTTAAGTAAAAGAAATTTGATGCGCGTGGCAAGGTGTTTTCACAAGGTCAGTTTAAAAGAACTTTTCATTTTTGAATTTTTATTCTTAAAGTTTCCCCTCTTACATTTTGCTACATGTTCGAAGACGAATAAAGAAAAGAAAATTTCGAGGAAATTTGATGCACGTGGCAAGACATCCGTGACAACGGATTGTCTATTAGTGCAAAACAATCAGGTTTGTTCATAAATGTTTTACGGGACAAAGCGAAGAAAGGGTTCTGCTAACAACAAGCGAAACTCAGCAGACAGCCAAACTGTTGCAAGTAGATTCCCCAATACTTCAGCCACTCACCCGAAACCAGCTAAGCCTGTACCAGCATTTGGCACATTCTCACTTGGACTCTTGAAGTTTCTTGATAAAAAAGTGTCTAAGTGCTATTGTTGCAGACAGGTCCTAAAACCAGAGAAACAGATCCTACCCCAACCTTTAGATCTAGTTATCGTCAGCGTAACGAGGAGAAGTTTTATAAAGGATGGTGTTCTATACGACCGCAGTTTTCAGATTTTTATAGATTTTTATTGATTATATTGTAGTGTTATCAAAGTATACGATAAGAAAATGAACAGATCAATGTTTTCCCGTGGAAGATCACGCAAGCAAAATAGAAAATATTCAGTTTACACAGAGAAAATAATATTGTTTGTAATATATAAAAAAGTAATATTGTAATATTAGGCTGCATGGATTTATGTCCTACGCTTTACTAAGGTTTATTTTACTTTGCATGCCTAGACCAATTAAGCTCCTTAAGTTCCTAAACTTCGTGCACTGCAACAAATATAATCCATGCCATGAGTTGTTTCAATAAAAATGCTAATGGTAAAGAATACACATCTTATTAACCTTATGTATGAAATAATAATGATTGACCGTAGTCCGTTATAGCTCCCGTCACTGCACGAATGGTATTCCAAAAAGAGCTTCCAAATTATCTACCAGCATTTTGAGCCGCTGAAAATCTAACGAACGAAACGTCCAAATCCCGCCGTTTTTGGTCAACATACAAGTGAGGAAATGAACGAAAAGATTTTTTCCATGGCGCTTACGGATTTCATCAACATGCCTACCAGGCATGATGTTTGTCAAATCTTAAAAAGTGAAGTCATCATATGAATATGCATGCAATACTCTATTAGCCTAAAAATCGTTCTTTGTTTATGTTCTGATGAGGTAACAGGACGACATTCAAAAGAAAAAAATCTTTGACCAATTATTACTACACATGATAATGAACGGCACAAAGAGGGCATAATTGAAGCCTCAAATGAGGGTATCTTTGTGGACGATAGAGAAACATCTTGGGATTTTCAAGCTATACAGTGTGTGGTGGGGGTTGGGGCACAATCCTATGAATGCAATGGCACCCGGCCCTCGACTATGTCCTTCTTTTTGACACTGAAGCTGTATTTCAATGAACCGAAACCCGACTTTTACCGACATTTTTTTAAGATAGACTAAAAATTTTTCTCATTCAGATCAAAAGTTTCTATTAGCCCAAAAAGAGCTTATTTATTTAAGGTTGTTAATCATAATCTGGGACTTACCTTTGATAAAAAAATTTCGTACTGTATAAAATCGTAACGATTTATATTCAAAATTAAACACTGTTTCCTCAGAATCTAACTGCAGAGTGTCTTTCACCCAATTTGAGAAACCTAGATGCACAGCAAAAAAATTAGCGATTCACGATGTGCAGCATTTAAGAATTTTCCTTAGCATAAATTTCTCAAATTTTAAGGATTGGAAGTTGTTTAAAAATTCAAGTAGAGCTATCGTCAAGATACCATTTTTCAGCTAAGGCTCGAAGTCACGCTATAAAAGTGACCGAACAAAAGGCTCTCTAAAAATGGTTTCAAAATGGGGCTTTAAAATAGTGGTGCATGGTTGACCTCTATAACTAATAATAGGAATCCCCAACTCGATTGCCTATGCTTTTGCAACTATATTTCTTCTGAAGCACGTTAGCCAATAGCAATATTTTGCTTACTTGAAAGCATCCAGATTACTATTTCTTGCTTTAGAAATTCCACCAATTTCTCTTGACGCCTTGTTCTTACAGCCTGGAAATTGTGGTGTAGAGATTTGGAAAGGTAGCCCATTGCTGCCGTTGTCATTATCATGGATCCAAAAGTTTCTCCATTAGTTCCCTCGCGTACTTTTAGATGACTTCCAGGGGCGTAAAGGAAATCCATTCTCTCAACTGACGTTTTCCATATCTGTGGTTTGCTAAGAGAGAATGACTACGCCTGTATTCTAAAAGCTCACTCACACTCAAACTCATTGAGTGAGAGATCTTAATCTTCTCATAACGTTTCAATGGCGGTATTTCCAGCCGAACGGGGGCTTGATTTTCAGTGATTTACGTTATATCTTTCCATCTATTCAGAAAAAACTTTTTCATTGATCAGCATTAAAGAAATTTATATGTCACACTCGATGAGTATGAGTATGAGTGAGCTTTTTGAATACTGGCGTTACGCCTGTATTCTAAAAGCTCACTCACACTCAAACTCATTGAGTGGGAGATCTTAAGCACAATATTCTTTTCAGCAGCTTCACCCTCCAAAACAGCAATAACCTTTTCCTGATCTTGTAATTCCCTTTATAATCATTGACGTCATGTTTACTCTTTCCCATTTCGACGAAAGCATTTTTTCCAGCAGTTGTCTTGTCTGAGAAGGAATTTATACAATGTAACATGTATGAGCATTTTCTGTTCGCTCAACCGTGCATAATTATTTACGACAAAGAAAAAACAAAAAACCAAAGCAGTGATCTGTTCATGTTTTGGGACAACAGTAAAGCATTTGTGTACCAAGATTTCTTGTAGTGTTCAAAATTCACTCATCCTTGAATTCTCATTAAACAACACTCGCTCATAATAAACAGCACTCATTAATTGAAATAACGAAACCAATTGAAAAATATATTTAGGACTTGGTTTCTCGAAGTATACAGAAAACCACTATCAAACTCAATTTTTAATGTGAAAAACATATCCGTCACCGGGTTGAACATCTAAAATTAGAAAAATTGGAAAATTTTTTTTTTGCAAAATATTGAAAAATTGTATGGATGTTCTGCTAAATATTTTACTTAAAATTCTCCTAGTTTCAAAATTAATTCAAAGTTTAACGGAAGTTTCTCAAACACAAAATTCACTTTGCCAAACATAGAAACTAATTAGAAAAACAAAAACAAAAATAACAATTTTCCTCGTACGGTCTACGCTACCGGTTGAGTAATATAGGAAAATTAATATTTTTCTTTACCACATATTTTTCCGATGACTTCAAGGTTAACTCGGTGGCCTTTCTCATCGATTCTTGGCCATTTGTTAGGGCTTTAGGGTGCCATGCGCACGTATCCACCATGAACACCATCGCAACAGTTTCACCATTTCTTTTCAGTTCACTTGCCATTTCGTAAGCCAACAGACCGCCGAACGAGTAGCCAGCTGAAAATGCGTTTCAAAAATAATGGGCATGAGCAAACATCCACATACAATATACACTTAGCGTATGCTCCCGAGGGAAATAGTGAGATTTGTATTCCCAAGAGTCTGAATGTTTTCTCAAAAGTGAGACTCGAGGGAAAACAAAACTCACAATTTGCCGAGGTTGTGCACATTTTTTTTTTGTTATATAGTGTTTTGTTATATATGGAAAAAACCTTCGGGAAAAACCTCTCCCTGGCGGAAACAATGCGTTTATTATATGCGTTTATTTATGGTGGAAACTATGCGTTTAAGTCATGTGACTACGAGTGAACCAATCACATTTAAAATACACAGCGCCTATATAACAATAACTGATGTAACTGATGTACATGGCAGGTATTTTTCACTAAAAGACTCCTCTTGAATGACAGGACACTGCAAAATATTTTTTTAAATTTCCAGTTGGTGACAATATATAGTGTTCATAAAACGAGTTCTTACCAAGATAAAATGGACCTTCAGGCTGGATTTTTTTTATTAAATCTACATATCTTCGAGCGAGTGTCAGCACTGTTCCATTTTCACTCCTCTCAAATGACGTATCATCCACTCCTATACCATATAATGCAACATGTGCCTGAAAAAAATCATAACTGATGAACGAATGCCGTCACTATACGCAAGGTGCAAGCATTAATTATATAATTAAGTTTGTGAAATGATGGAGAATCAATACATATACAAATAATAATTGCATATCTCCTCTGAACTTGCATTTTACTGCCTTCATGTAATATTGCGTAACTTAATGCGGAAAAGTGTTTTTAAAACACGTATAATTTTTTATTTTTATCAATCAGGGCATAAAAATGATTCGAGATTTGCAGTTTTCTATACTGTTTTTTGTCAAACCAAGCGTAAGCTCTAAATTGATGTTATTATTGATTGATACTATATGCATCTTAATTGATGCAAGTTTGGTTTTAGCAAGATTCTTATTGGGTAAGAGTCTACAGACAATTCTCACTGTCTTATCACCTACAACGACATTAAACAATTGTTAACTTTGCTTCGGTAGATATCTTTGACCTCAGTCTGAATAATTCTTGATATCATGCTCAGCCTGATCCAATAATTTGTTAATAATTTGTTTTTTGATCCATATATAATTTATGAATCTGATTTAAAAGACCCTCCAACCAGACCAAGTTATTTAAAATCATTACCTGTTTTTGGAAACCTTGCGCGAATGACGCTAGTCCAAGTGCCAATTTTTCGCTAGAGTGTGTCATAAATACTTTAACAAATACGTTATCTGGAAAATAAATTGGAATAACTTTCTCTGGGAATGAAGGAATATTTATATTCTGCAGCTCAAGCCCATTCTTAACTCTTCCAATCGGTGTCATTGTTGTTAATTTCAGGTGAAATATTTTTTTTATCTTCCTCATGGTTAATTGCCAAACTGGTTTTCCTTTGCTTAATTATAATGGCGTACAATTTTTACGATAACTTACATAGGGTGAAGGATGATATTAGATATATATTAGAGATAGCGTATTAATTTAATAGATGTGTTTAAATTTTGCAAAATCGCAGCGAAGAAGGAAACAACGAGAGAAGCACTGCTCGCTTACATTTTCCTAACTAATATTTCGCTAAATGCTCGTAAAACGCTATCGTTTAATAATTGTTAAGTGTCTACATTTAAAGTCCTTGCTTCAGTTTGAGAGAAGCTTCATTAAAAATATTTCTATACTTATTTTAGAGGCATTCCGAAATAATTTACCAACTTTTAAATTTAATATCTCTATGATTTTTTCTTAAAAATACAACTACAACATATCAAAATCCAAGTTAGTCTTTCCTCTATAGTTTATTTGAAAGCTTCTCATTTCGACATTTCGACTTTGTCCAAGATTTTTATGTCATTGAAATTTCTAGTAACAGTGCAAATTTCTGTAACAACAATGCAAATTGGATCGAGATAAAATCGTTTAAGCAAAGTAGAGAACAAATTTTCGAGAGAAACTCTGTTAGTTTATTTGAGAAATTAGCAGAAAAAGAAGGATGGGTGTTATTAGTATTTTTACTGGCTCATTTATCTCTTTTTTGATCAAAAGTCACAGAAAAAGCTTACCTCAAATTTAGCCCCAATATTGTTTTCAATTCGATGTTTCATATTAGTTACAGCAATGGAATCGATTCCAAACTTGTACAGACCGATGTTTAAGTCCACTTCAGAGGCCTCACTACCTGACCACGAACTCAGCAAACGCCTGATGAAATCTTGAACATTTTGAATTCTCACATCCAAGGGTAGTACTGCTAGGCTCTCCAATGTCATTAAATTGTCCACGACTACCAGCGTTTCTTCTCGTTTTCATTGGAACCTCAGAGAAGTATGACTTCTAAGATAAACTTGCCAATTCATAGGTGATATATGCAAACTTGAGCTTCGTTAGAATTTTTAAGAATGATGCGTTCCATAAACTCGGTTGCTGAAAAAATATAGTTTTGCAAAGTCTACACCTGAAACAGGCGAATAATTATGTATACTTATTAACAATAGAATGTTACTTCAAACCTTATGACGATATTTTTATGTCAAAGGATTGCCTACCGACTCAATTATTTCTTATTGAGTAATTTCATAATGTGCTTAGCCTAAAAGATTATTTTCTTGGTTTGAAAAGGCGAGGAGTTCAGCAGGAATGTATTTGAATTTGTTATCCTGAATATACCTTGCGTATAGTGAAGAGCAAAAAATCCGTATGTTTCCTGGACTGATGTGATATCTGCATTTCTTTCCAGTACTCCAGCACCACTGATCGGTCCCCAGTTAATAGACAAAGCAGGCAGGCCAAGCTTGTTTTGACGATATTCACATAGTTGGTCTAAAAATGTGTTAGCCGCAGCGTAAGATGCTTGCCCAACATTACCAAGAACTCCAGATATTGAGGAAAACATAATGAAGAAATCTAGATCCATCGAAAGACTGAGTTGGTGAAGGATAATACTTCCTATTAGAAAAATGGGAGATAGCTATTAAAATATTTTTTGAATTAAAAATGGTAATAGACTAATAGTATATATTTTTCACAATTATTATACCTATTATCATGATATTATTACGGTATAAATGGAAATAGCAATAGACTCATGCCACTTTTAAACTTTCAGTATTTCGAGTTTGTCAGATATATGATATAAAAAAACTCAATATTTAATTATGTTGTATTTATTCATGAAAAATCATAGGACGCATGAAGTATGATTTCCGCTGAAGTAAAATTCATAAACGTTTAGCAGAATTTTAGTTCAGAGTTTCTCTTATTTAATCGTCTTTCTTTATAGTTGCAAATGGTATTTCGTTGGTATACGTTTGAGAGAATGTTCTCAAAAAATGAAAAGGAAAAACTACCCTTCGCCTTAATAATTAAAATGTTTCGACAAAATGAGGATGCGAAATAGTGAAGAACATAGACATAATATATATTTAAAGAGACATGCCAAGGGAAGGGTACACATGCATATCGTGGGCTGTTCAATGACCAAGAAGACCTTTTTTTGTCTGACAAATTGTAAAAAAAAAGATGGACTAACAACTTACTGGCTAGAAAAAACAATAATGTAGCTATCTGCGCCATATATATCAAGAGCCTAGAGTATATCGAGCAGTAGTGTAAACTGGCCTTTAATTAGTGGTTGCGACGCTGAGATGAGGAATAACCGCACCGAGGTCATGAAATGAGTAAATTATTTTAGTAATGTGTGCAACATGTCTAACCCAGTATTTGATTATGAATTGAGTATTATAAATGGTTAGCAACACCTGACAATGCGTTACGAAGTTTTAGAAACATCCGGTCTATTCGAGTGAATTTTGGATATGTTGAATAGCTACCATTCGACTATTCATGTTTCGTGCAACGCGTTTTTATCTATAACTATGTTCACTTGTTTAGCAGATTCACCCAGTTGATAGTACATTTATTCACCTTTCGAACAACCGGCCTCCTTATTTCTGCGCCGCCTGAAATTTTTGCTCTAACCAGTTTCAACTCGTCTTAAACTCAGGCATGCGCATATCTCACAAACGCCAAACGTCCATGATATAATGGCGGACAACTTCAATTTCGCATTTCCACTCCCAGGCGTAAAAAAAAATCTCGGAGCGGTATTACCACCCGCGCCCGGCGTTTCGCACCGACTCGGGGATTACCAGCTTTTGGGTTGTTTCTGCATTTCGGTTCCTCTGTTATGACGCAAGAAGAGAAAGTGTCCCATTTTTTAGAATTTGAACGCGCATAAGCATCGTTAATATTGGCCTTTATTGGGTGCAAATTTGTCACTAGAAAGATTTTTTTAGGAATAGAACAATCAATTTTTTACCTTCTACTTGTAGTATCAGCAACGGTCGTTCTGGCAGTCATCCTCGCCTTTAATTGGCACGAGATTGCCAAACCTTGTCCCTGAAGAAATATATGAGTAGCCACGTTATATTTTTGCAAAGGTAAATGTTATTCAGGCGTATTCTAGAATAGAATTTAAATTCCGAGAACATCAGAGGATTTTATACGGGGCTTGGATTTAATGTGTATGGGAGCAGCTGAGTAACTAGAATGATCATTGGGCGACCTCGTTTCCAGGGCCTTTTAGGATTTATATGGGGGTTGGAGCTAGGGGCTAGTGGAAAGTAGAGGAAAGGCCCTTGGATCGGCTTGTCATGACTGACATTACTAGCTACATATTACTAAGTAAATTTCCTATTGCTTGAACAGCGGTAAAAAAAAATGAAGGTCATCATCAGGCCCCATTCACAAGTAGACGGGAACCAAACGAAATTATTGTGAGCAGATACATATACGCTTAATGTACCTATTTTTGTATCTGCGAGCGCAGATACGGGGCTACATGTAATTACACACAGTAGTTTCAATAAGTACAATTAATACCGATATCGTTTAATATGCATAATATTGTCTATCAAATTTGAGACAAGATAGTTATTCCAGCGAAATTGTTTGCATCATTTCATAGGTTGAGTTACATTTATTCGGTAATTGTAGGATTGTATAGTTTCTTCACGTTTTGGAGAAAGGTTAGGAAGCAGTCGTCATCGTGATGCTTATATTTCCACATAAACTCTGCGAAGTATGAGGCATAATGGTCTTTCTTTCGCCCATGTGTAGTTAGGTTGGATTTTAATTTACGCCAATGCCTTTCTATTTTATTTGTGTGGTCACCTTCAATATTAACGAATTCTTGTGAGTGATTGACTGTTTTGTGTATGTATCTATAATTCTCGAGATTTATATAGCCTTTCCAGCAATCGGATATTATAGTTGTTCCTGGCAATATCCAAGTTTGTGCGAGGCCGACCAATTTTGTCTCGGATCTATCATCTACTGGTACGATGAAGGAATTTCTTGATTGTTCCTCTATGCCTCCGATTGCGTTTCAATGCGTTTTAACTTACTTATGAGTACAATTTTAAAATAATTGTTATTTCTCTGATCGTTTAGAAACGCATTAAAACTAACATGATGGTTTTATAGGTTTTATAGTACCAGATGGCAACCGCAAGTGCTGCTTCGAAGTCCATTTGTACAACAACAAAGTAAGTTCAAGCTTCATTGAAATTTTAAGGTAGCATTGCGGATAGTCATTGGAATAACTTTTTCTATCATACACGGTCATTCATAATTTTGGTTTATCAAGCGAAACAAAAAATCAGTGTTTTCTTTTTGCAATTTGCACTGCACTTTTTATACAGGTAAATTTTTTACTACAAAGTAGTTTAATAAATCGCAAAAAATGTGACATAAATTTGCTTTTTAGAGTCAAAATGGTTGATATACTTTGCCTATAAGATAGTAATAGGAAAACATATGCACTTATTTAAATGGAGACCTAAATTTACCGTTAACAGACCCATGAAATGGACTGAATCACATGATATACTTTTGGCAAGAGAGGTTTTAGTATCAAGTATATATGAGATCAGAAATGGCAGTGTGGAGAGAGGAAAAGAGTGGGACAAAATAGTTGAAAACCTCAACGCATTGGAAAGTCCAAAATTCTATGTATCCAAGCGGGCAATACGGGATCGGCTTAATTACTTATCAAAGGATACAGAGCAAAAGTCAGAGAAGAAGGTCAGTCCAGTGGAATAAGCCCAGATGAAGATGAAATTGACTCATTACTAGAGGAAATTTGTGATAAAGAAGAAGAATGGATGCTTAATCCTCCTATTACATCCAAGGTAAAGAAAGCAGAAAATGACAGAGCCACAGCTAATGAAATAAGACTTCAAGCCTTGGAAACTGTAGGAGAGACTACTAAAAGAAAGGAGAAAAATGAAAGGGAGCATACAACAAAGAGAAGAAAGAGTACTGGTGAGGCTATTGAATATTTAAAAGAAAAAGCTAAAGCTGACCTGTCTCTGAAAGAAAGCGAGTTTGAGCTTAGAGAAAAAGAGCAGTCAAATAGTGCTTTGTTATTGCAAAACCAAAGCCAAATGCAACAGGACATGCTGATTTTTATGCAGCAACAACATCAAGAACAGAAGAGACAACAGCAACTTCAGCAACAACAGCATGCACAAACCATGCAACAAATGTTCCAACAACAACAAATGCAAAGTCAGGCTTTGATGGCTCTCTTAGAAAAATTTGCTAACAAATAGGACACAAGGCATGTACACTTCTGTAAGTTGTGTTATTATTTACATAGCTTTTTTAACTGTTAAATTTAGAATATAAAAGCTCTTCTATTTTATTTTCTGGACAATATGGACAATGACAATGTTAAAAAAATTGGAAAATACAAAAATATTAACACTTTTAAATTGATGTTTGCAGTTCAAATGTAAAAAATACAAGTTTGTTAAACTCTTCTGTTTATGGTTCTTAATTCACAGCAAAGTATTCCTCCAGAGTAGGTGGTTCCAAGCCAAAGTACTCAGCTGTTTGGTTGCCATACATGCAGGTCAATGCATTTCGAAGAAGGGAACAAACAACATACATCTTACCAACGCTACTCAAACCAATTTTTAGATTTTTTTTAAAATCTAGGAATTTAAAATAATTTATTATGTCACCGAACAACCATTCGACAGATACTCTTGTGGCGCTCATGTTGGTGTTGGACATCTGCATTTGGTTGGTTAGATTTCCTTGTCGAAATGGTGCCTGTAGGTGCACCCTTAAGGGATATGCTGGATCCCCATACAAGCACATTGGATCTCCCCTTGTTGAGAAAGCTTGTGCCTCTAAGGTCTGCAGCAGTCCTGACTCAGCCAACATACCAGCATCGTGTCTTTTCCCCTCTAGGTAAGTTAGTGTTGACAAAAAATGAATATGATAACAGTTATAAAATTTATGATTTCTCTCCTAGCAACATTAGATACAGTCCCATCCATTTTTAAATTACCCTCTTTAAAAATGGCTGAAAATAACTTTAAAACTCCAGTACGTTTATTATACTCCACTCTTCAACAAGGGTATTCATACTAACCTACAGGTCCATAAAGGTTTGCAATCATACCATTTGGAACAACAACAGACTGAAATTTCAGGGAATGTACTTTCTTGTGCCCATTATAAACCAGCCTCTGGTTTTGTCTAGGCCTGCAGATCGGACGGACTGTTCCATCAATGAACCCGAAACAGTTTTGTAACGGGGCACCTTTTTGATGAATGGATGTTGCATAAACTTCTAAGAGGTCAGGGCTCAGAAGGCCGTTGTTCCATTCAGTTATGCGGTGGTGATGAGTTTCGTAGATGTAGTTTAACACATGATTTGTAATCATGCATATTTCGGGAACAGGTCTTCCGAATAAGGTTATCATATCCCCGTACCTGCAAGGATAGGCGAATCGCTTCATCAGCACACACAAGCCCTCCATACCATCAGCAACACTTCGCTGGTACATCTTAAACGAGGGAGGAATCTGCAGAGCATTAGCTAATGAATGTAAATCTTTTTTTTCCACACGAAAATTAGCCTTGCTTTCAGCCTCCAACAACTCGTCGAAATCGAACTTGGGGGTGTCTTCGTAGGTGAAATCTGGATTTTTCGAGTGAAAATAATCGTACAGTAACACAAATTCATCGTTTGAGATAATTTCATCGGCATAAGAGTAGGCTATAATTTCACGAACTTCCCTAAATGACATTTTGTTCACGTCCCCGTTTGTTTTTGCTTAATGATTTGTTTTTCGCGCTAAAACGTCGTCCTCGGGCCAGTATTTCGCGGTTAAATGGCGTCGCCGTCGTCGTGAAAACGTTGCTTGCTTAAGTTCGCTAATTTCGGGCGAGCGGACGTCCTACAGATTTGCCACTGAAACAACGCGTGAAGTACTAGAGAACGTGCCATTTGCAATTGTTGGTTGCACACAGGTTCCATCTGCAGCGCGACTTATATGCCGGCTGGACCAAGGGCATGGCCTCCTCAATCGCTTTTTATTTTGGTTTTGTATGTGCCTTCGACCGTCTCCAAAGTAGACTGAAGCAGCGAAAAATATTCTCAGCGAGATTCCATTGAAGTCATTCACCGACGTTTTCCTGGAGATGTTTGCTCTACACTTGAGTAAAAAAGTATCTAGCTTTACTCAACCTGCACAGAAAATGATGGATTCCTTGCAAACTGAATTTATTACTCAATTAAATGAAGCAATCACGGAGGGCGTTCCTGGACCAAAATCTAAAAGAGTCGATATGGTGCAAAGATTGGCAGTTTCTTTGCATGTTTTGACACACGTAATGGGACATCTTATTGAAGGAAAGAAACCACGTCCGCCTCCTAAAGATGTTACCTTAGAAACAGTTAAAAAATATGTGAGGAACTTTTTCTCTCTTATTGATTTTTCGTTTTTTTGTAGTTTATTTCGACTTTGACAGTTGGGTCTCAGTGTTGTTCCAGAGAAAATGCAGCCTACTTTGGATGATATTAAAATTGGCGTGTTACTGTTTCCTGGTCCTATGGTGACAAAACGCAGTTTTAAACAGTCTGCGCCACGGAAGATACGTGGGATAACAGACAGTGAATTAGTTTCAGCATTGGAAATCCTGGAAAAAAATAGGTGTGGGACCATAACGTAGGTGCGACCATCGCCAAATGCAAGAAAGGAAACAATCGTGTTTGTGAAGTTGCCGTGTTTACCATCTGAAATAAGTGTGCCTGCGTCGGATGAATACAAAAGCCAATTTCAGTTGCCATTACATAAGGGAATATCCGAAACAACAAAAAGACAATTGTGTGAAAGGGAGTTACTTTCATCGGCTTAAGAGTGTCTCAGTTTAAATATTACTTTGAATTTAAAGTGAGTTTTAGTGGTGTGTTTATACGTGTATGTACAGTTTGTTGCCTTAAACTTTATGATGCATATAAGTTGTAAGGTGATATATAGTTTTTTTACTTCAAAAGAATAACAACTAACTAAGAATTGAGTAAATATTATAAGTGAATGTGCGTTTTGATTTACAGAAATTGTAATGATCAAGAGAGAATTGGGTTTCCAAAGTTGAGTTGCCAAACGAATAGAGTTGGCAGGGCAGTTGCCAACGTAGCCAACGTAGCCACGTAGGAAAGGTAGCCAAGTAGCCAAAGTAACCAACGTAGCCACGTAGCCAAAGTAGCCAACGTAGCCAACGTAGCCAACGTAGCCAAAGTAGCCAACGTAGCCAACGTAGCTACGTAAGAAAGGTAGCCAAGTTGCCAAAGTAGCCAAAGTAGCCAACGTAGCCAAAGTAGCCAACGTAGCCAACGTAGCCAACGTAGCCAACGTAGCCACGTAGGAAAGGTAGCCAAGTAGCCAAAGTAGCCAAAGTAGCCAACGTAGCCAACGTAGCCAACGTAGCCACGTAGGAAAGGTAGCCAAGTAGCCAAAGTAGCCAAAGTAGCCAACGTAGCCAAGTAGCCAAAGTAGCCAAAGTAGCCAACGTAGCCACGTAGCCAACGTAGCCAACGTAGCCAAAGTAGCCAACGTAGCCAAAGTAGCCAAAGTAGCCAAAGTAGCCAACGTAGCCACGTAGCAAAGGTAGCTACGTAGCAAAGGTAGCCACGTAGCAAAGGTAGTCAGGTAGCAAAGGCAGCAACGTAGCAAAGGTAGGTAGTTACAGACAAGGTTTAGCCACGTAAGTATAGGGTAGCCAATGCACGACACTATATGTTATAGATAAATAGCTTTGCCCATGTGTAGGTTTTGTGTAGGAAGCGACGGGATTGTAGCCACGTCCAAAAAGTATGTAAGCCTTGAGTTGGCAAGGTATTCTATAATTGCTCCTTAGCGTGAATTACTGTGAGTGCGAGTTGTATAAACACCAGTCTGACCGTGTGACCACGACGAAATTGAAGATAAATAATATAGTTTAGAAGTTAGATAAATAATGGCACATGGTCATCATATTACAGAATATCGAGTAGACCCTATATCCTATGCGTGTATGTTTATGATGTGTATATATATACCATTTATATGCATGTATAATGTATTGAATAATTTTGTATGCCTCTCTGACTAGTTTTTTTTTGTTTGGGAGTTTTGATCTCCAAAATCGGGCTTGCCTTTGAAAAATCCCCAAACTTTAGAATAAAAAATATAAATATTATTTATTGTTAGTCTGGAAGGTGACTAGTAAGCAACTTACCTATGAGCATTCTGTACCGGAAACAGTCAATCTAGGAAAAGAGAATTGTTTTAAGCTCTGTGCAAAATATATACAAAATATTGTTACATGATGAACATATCACTACCACTATTAATGTAAAAAATACTGATCCAAGAATATTGTTAATTACAAGGTTTCAAAGAAGGTTTCAAAAAAAGTTTGTACTACAAATCAGAGCCAACTTAATATTTACATTATGGGGTCAACAAATCTCACCCTGAAATTTGAAAAACATTCCTTTAAGCGACTGTTGAAAAGGTCAACTGAGAATGGATGATGAACATCCTACTGTATCCTGCTTCAAATGCGAGTCAATTTGGCTCTAATTTTGTATCAGTGGGAAGGAATGTTTATCAAAGTGGGATTCAAATTTATTAGTCCCCACAATGCAATTACGTAAGTTCACTAAAAACGCAGTGTAAAAAATGCACGGAGCATTGTGAGGACTTGCGCAAGAACTTTCACATTGTTGGGACTTAACTCAGGCTCCCATAAAGTCATTCCTACAAGTTTTCGACACAATGTTCAAACAACAGCATAGGTGGCTTCTTAGAGTGTGTTTTTTTCTCATTAATAGTTTTATTTAATAATTATTTTCATTTTTTTAGCAGAGTAGCATCTTTATACCTGGGTGGAATTTGTTGACAATATTCATGTACATGCTGAATTTGCTCTAATTTTGAATTAGTGGAAAAGGATGTGTTCATTTAGGTAAGATTTGTTTACTGTATGTAGTAGTAGAGGTGAAATGTGATTTGTTGATTAAAGCTCTTTTTACATTAATATAGTGAGTCGACTTTAACTGGAATGTTTTCCATCAATAGTTGATGTTAATAATTGTATTTGTAGTAGCTCAGGTTTAATCTTTCATCAAATTTTATTGAAGGCCTCACCATGAAATTACACATGTTTCTTGCCACAAGGTGTAAAAAGTGTATAAAGGACTTGCATGTGCAAGAACTCTCACATTGCAGGGACTTAAATTTTCAATGATTTGTGTCAGCATAGTATATTGGTGGCTCAGGTTAATCTTTCCATCAAGAAAAGAATGGAATGTTTATCAAGGGGAATGTTTTTCATGTTCAATTTAGTTTAATTAATTTAAATGTTTGTACTGGTAGTATGCAGAAAGACGTAGATGTTTATCAGACTGGGATTTGCGACTTTCTAAAACCTCTAACGTCTTTTTTGCTACGATATTTTTTTTAGAATGGAACATGTGAGAAATCCTTTTGACCTACATCAATGCATAAAAGACTGACCACTATTAAACAAACGTTGACGGAGAGTTTATTAATGATGCATGTGGTAAGTTTTATATTTTATTTAACAAAATCTACACTGTCACTGCTGTTACACTATTCAATTTTCTTGCAACTTACAACTTGCAATGCAATTATAATTTTGAGGGATGTTAATTTGTAAGGAGTGTCCGAAATGTTAAAAATAACAGCAGATCGTACGAAATGTTCGTATTTGACAACTTTAGATACCTCAGGAGTAGAATTGGATTGCAAATTGTGAAGAAAGTGTTGGAAAGGAATGTTAAATGTTGAGGCTTGATTGTCCCTTCACAACAGTTCCTTAATCATAGCGGCTTATATTTTCACTCTACTTTCTGTCCCGTATTTTTGAACTTCAGCATGCGCTTTGGGTGCAATTGGTAATTAAATGTAACGGTATTAGGTGTTGTCCCTCATCTTTGTTGACTGTACAGACTTTAGCTGCTCTAATCAGGTGATGACATGTAGTCAACAACTCAAACTTTTAGGGGCACACTGCGCGATTTGTCATCTTCTAGAATCACAACATTTCAAAAGATCCATTCGATACTTTCAACGGTTCTCTTAATCTGCAGATCTATACTTTTTTCGCCATTGATTCATAAATTGATTTACTGTCGTTCGATGTGTTGGTAATGGTACCAGTTGGTGCGACCATGGATTAGTGGTGAGGGTGTTAACATGTTCGTCGTCGTACAAATAGGTTAAAGGTGAAGTGGCTTATTCTTATGTATGTATTTGAGCAATTTGTTCCAGATGGTAGCAGACTTTCAGTGAGAGATCTCGATTAACTGTCCGCATTTCTTTAAACAATAGCTGTGCTCGTCCTTATACTGGTTTCTTAATAAAAAGTTTTGTACTACCAATCATGTTTTCCAAAAATCTCCTTGCCAGGGCGCTTTCTCGATAATGAAAGTCCATGTAATTCTCTTCTTCATCAAATACTGTTGGATC